GCAGGCTAGATCAACCTACTTGGGAGGCCAGCTCCGGCCCACGGAGGCCCTTTTGCCCACCGCTGCTCTAGAAATATTTTAGTCCAATGTTTTTCAATTAAAATAAAAGGCGTTTCCTCATCTCTGTCACCAAATGTCCCTATTTTCAGTTTTTACATGTTGTCAAGGCTGTTTATAGCTTGCCTGATGATTTGTTTTTATTATCATTATTATGATAAGAAAATTGCAGCAACAATTAGAAACATGCTGTAGGTGGGCTGCTTGTGTTTGCCACTTGTTTGCAAACAGCCGGGAGATGTGGGGGTAGCTTAGGGCTGTTGTGGTTTCCCTTTGGGGGCACAGTCACTCTCACCCTATGTAGCCCGGTATTACAAACGGAAACTGCACTGATTTAAAATGACAGTTCAGTGCTTGTGTCCATTTGATGTCATTTACACATTGGAATTGACATAAGCATGCCGGTGGAACAGATGGAGTTACATAGCCAGTCAAACCTGACCAGAAATGAGGCCGAAAAATGATGAAACAAGTTAGAGCTTTACAAAATGTTGGTACAGAACAGCACCCCACTCCCAACAGTGGCTCGCACTTAATCCATATCCAGGCTGTTCCACTCCTAACGAAACACAAGGCCCAGTCACATTACTCCTGCTTGGGCACTTCTAAAGAGCAGGAGGGTAAGTATATGTCCTGAGATTGCTGGACTCTCTGGTGGTCTAGGGGTGCACAGAAGTCTTATGAGGGTACATCACCTCATCTAGTTTTATAGCATGCTACGTAAAAAGCACCACGAGTGAGGTCAGTAACAGCACGCTGCGCCACTTACGTATTTTTATGTCTGATTTTGTAAGCAAGTTGTTTTTAAGTGAGATGACACTTGGGCATGGGCAGCGCATAATGTAGGCAAAGGAAGGCTGTGCCTCCCCAAATAGCCATGGGTGGCCCCACTCATGCTTCACCCCTGGCCAGACCCCTGCTCCCTGCAGTGCAGCTCCTAGGCCCAGGCCAGGCAAGCTAATCTCTAGGGAGCCTGCAGGGGCTGGAAGTGCCCAGTATTGGAGGAGCCCAGCACTGGGGCTGCACCATTCGTTGCTCTGGGGTGCCGAGCCCCAGGGGACATGGCATTGGGGCCAGGCTGCCCACTGGATGCTCCCGGGCAAGGTGGGGGGCTCCTGCAGGTGCTTTGGGGCTGAGAGGGAGAGTGAAGCAGCTTGGCCTGGCACTTGGGCTGGTGGCTTACCTGGGGGGAGGGCCTTCAGGACACTGGGACTAGTGGCTTATCTGGGGGGGAGGGAGCTTTCAGGGGCACGGGGGCCAGCAGTTTGGCCCAGCACTAGACCAGCCTGACACTTTGGGAGGCTGGCAGCTCAGCCAGGAGGACCTTCAGGTCAGGTGAGGGGCCAGCTAGCCAGAGGTCTTGCAGAGTAGCATGGCCCAGGGAGGCTGGAACATCCTAGCCACGGTGCTGGGTGGTGTGACTCAGGGAGGCCGGGACCAGCTGGCATGACTAGGGCTGGCCATCTGGTACTCTGTCAGCCATTGGCAGGAGAAGGAGAAAAGGGGGTGAAGAAGACCTCTTGGGCAGAAGGGGCAGGGCCAGTTGGCTAGCCTCCCTGAAGGGGAGGGAGATCACCCACCACCCATGAACTTGGGGTACACTAGACAAATCAGACTCCTGAAAGAGATACAGTAGTCTGGAAAGGTTAGTAGCACCTGAGCTAAGGCGTGTGTGTGTGTGTGTGTGAGTGTGTGCACGCGCGCGCGCGCAAGTGCGCTGCCAAGCCCCATTCAGGTCAATATAAGGTCTAATACTACAAGGCAGCAGTTCTCAAACTTCTCTGCACCCTGACTCTGTTCTGACAATGAAAATTACTACACAACCCCAGGAGAGGGGACCAAAGACTGAGCCCACTCAAGCCTCACAATCGTGGGGGAGAGGGAACCTGAATCCCCAAGAGCTTCTGAACTGAACGCGGGGCTTGCAATCTTAGCCCTGGAAAGTGGGACTTGGGCGTGGGCTTCTGACTTGTTGTGACCCCAGATCAAGACCAGCTTTGGCACCCCCATTAAAACTCACAGTTTGAGAACCCTTTCTACAAGGTAACAGTCAATCTACACTCTCACTGACGTCCATTGGGGGAAGTGGAAGATGCCCCATGCTTTGAAAGCTTACTCCCCCAAATCCTGGAAGGACTGCTGAAAGTAAGGAAGAACCGGGATGGTCAAATCAGTGCACTTATTTATATTGTGTTAACATAACCACTTCTCATTGCCTCTTCACAACCATTTACAATCCCCACTGTAATTACCTTTCAGGGTACCACCAGATGGACTTTTTGTGGGACTGCCCAGATTTTGACAAGGCAGTTCCATTTTCTCCACTGCTCCACTCACAAAAATAAATTCAGAGTAAAATATTTTTTCTCCTCCCAGTTCCAGTCACAGATTCCAACAGAAAAGCTCATATAGGTGAAGGATCTGGCTACCCGCCATAGTGTTTTCTATATCATCCATCACATAGTAGCAAAGTAGGTAGAGTAAAATTTTCAAAATACCTAAGTGACTTAGGAACTGGCATTTAGGCTTCTATGTCACTTCAGTTTTTCTGAAAGATTTATCTGCAGTATCTAAGTAGCAGTTGGAATTCACTTAACAGTTGGGCAGCTACAGTCTATGATACGCGCCCTTAATAAATAACACTTAAATGTAATGTGAGTTACTCCCAAAAGCTGCCATTATGCAACTTGAGTGCTAGGCTTCTAATATGTCAAAGCTTCCCAGTATACTGCAGGAACAGCAAGATGCTGCTGACATCTGTTGATATAATGGTGACCCAGCATGATGAAATGGTGCCACGTTAAATATTAACAACACTCCATCACCACACTGAAAAACAACACAATGTGATGTGACATCATTGTCTTTTTGGGACCTTATTTAACTTATTCAGCAAAAGCCTGACCTGACTGAAATGACAGGAAATTTTGCCACTGACTTAAAGCAAGGTTTCATCCATTGTGTCTGCCAGGCCCACTTAAATGATTCCCACACTCCATTGGTGTGAGCAAAATCACAAATCCATGTGAAGAATAACTAGCAGGGCCGTATTTCCCTCATAAACCAACCGCCAGTCTATTGGTGGAGCAATATGTTGTAATGTGCTGGATATTGCCAAGCCTAGCTCTTTGCGTCTGGGACCCTGTGCAAAGAAGATACATAGAGGCTGGGAAGGAAGCATCTTCCATCACTCTGCAGGTTTCCTTCTGCTAATGTGGCCTTTATGGGCTATAGAATGTGTCAAGGTACGCTCTCCTCATCCAGGACAATGGCATAATGCAGAGCCTCAAGTGGAGGGTGATTAGATCAGCTTTGAAGCTTCAAGGAGGCTTAAGAAACAAATGCAATGGAGAAGTAAAATAAATTAAACTTCTTAACTATGCTAACTAGATCTTACCCTTTGAAACTCAGGGATATCACTGGCAGATAGCAATTGATATATAATCTACTGAGTTCTGTCCTTGGTTTGGAAATAGAAGGAAAATCCTGAGTCAACTAATGAAACCCTGTCAGCCTTTTACGAGAATTTGATTCCTCGTCCTTGTCCATTGAAGGGTACTGAAGTGTCTCTGGGTTTCCAAGGCATTTGGATGACTCTCTCTTGTCTTTTAGCAGAAGCATTTCTTCCTTTTTTCTAGCACTAAAGGCAGGGGTTTCCATTTCTAGGAAATTTTTCAGAGTCCCTAGAGCCTGGATGAAGCAGAGCCAAAGAATGAAACTGGGGTCTTTCAGGTGTCAAGCAGTATTTTCATGGCTCTTTAGACAAAGATCCATACTCAGAGGTAAGCAATGTTAATTGCAACTACTATTTGTTTAATAACAACTGTGATATTTAAGATTACAAATTGTCCATCATTACCCTTGTTTATAACATGCCCGTAACTTTAATTGTGCAGTCACATGGATTTGTGCATTTAGTATGTATGTAATTGGAACTCAGATATTGTGGGCCATGCTCGAATGAGCAGAGTAAGGGCCAATTAAATGCCTCCAATATGTATGTGTCATCTTTTGTCAAGGGCTTTTGCCTTCCTTTTCCTGATTTTTTTCCCCCTTCTTCCTACCAGCAGTAGTAGTAAAATGAAGAAGCCCATCTATAGCTCCCAACTTTGAACACTGTTTGCAAATGTGTTTGCAACAAGAGTGTCCACCAAAGGCACAGAGTTACGGTTTGTGCTTCACTTGCACAAGCTCAAAATACAGCTGCAAACAAAACAGGGTGACCATTAGGGACGTGAAATGCACCAGAATCATTGCCCTTAAGGCTCTTTTTTTGTGACACCTGCTCAAGGCTTATTAAAACCATCTCTGTTTTTTTTCAGGTCTTATCACTGCAGAACCACTTAAGGATGCTGAGCCTATTGTAGCCACATCCTCTCAAATTCAAATCCATGAGCCTCTGAGAAATGGTGGGGTCAAGAGAGCTGCTGATACTAGCACGAGTTCCCTTGCTCAGATAGTCCTGCCACTGGAAAGGCCCAGGGCTTTGGATTTAGTGAGAAGATAATGATTACAAAGTGTGTCTAGAAGGGGATTTGATGCTAGCATCCTTAAAAATCATTGAAGGCTATTAGATAGCCATGGGCATAGTTTTAATTCAAGTCTGACTCAAATCTGGTTTAGACAGAAAATGAGGCTCTCAGTCAATGCTAAAGCAGGACAGCAAATGCTGAATTTTGATCTTGAGGCACACTGCATACCTCCCAGAGGGTACCAAGTGCTCATTCACTTTAGTTGTCATCGAGGGTGGGTGGGTTTGGAACCAGCTCTTGTAGCCCTACTTGCACGTGGTCTTGTTTTCAATCCAAACACATTAACTGAAGGATCTCAGCCGGGCCACAGTCCAGGCGTTCCTTCAATGAACACAAGGTTGGCCGGGGAGTAAGTCATTTTTACCCAACATAGATGGCTTTGGGAAACCCCCACATTAAGATGACTCTTACCTCTTTCTGATGATACTTTATTGCTACCTTTAGCTTTGCCAAATCATGACATTTTTGGGGATCCAGCTCCTCGCTCTGATCATCCCTGTGGTTGAGAATGATCTCCAGTTCCCTGGAGCTCCGGGCCTGGTCCAAAAGGTCCTTAGCAAAACGTTTGCACTGCTGGGAAAGCTCTTCATATTCAGCCTTGAACTCATTCTCCACTTTGCTGAGCTCCTTCAGTTCCCAGCCCAGCCGGAAGGCTGTCAGAATAGGGTCCTCACTTGATAAGGCAATCAACGAAGGGCTGGCTAAGGCTTTGTAGATATTCAGCCTTGACCGGGAATGCCTTAGGCTGTCCACCTCAGAACTGGAAACACATTCCACACAGTTACATCTGATCTGGTGTGGGCGCGGTATTGTTACCCGTCTTTGGACAAGCAGTTTGATGATTTCGTAGTTGTTGGTGTGGGCCGCCAACATTATTGGGGTGATGTCAGGGGTGAATTCTGAAAACTGGGTGTCCATCATCAAGGTAGGGACCTACACATAACAAATAAATAATAATAATAATAATAATACTCTCAGTCAAGGAAGTAGGAAATAGTAATTCATCTTGTATACAGTTACACTAAATATGACCCATGCTGACTAAGCAGGGTCATTCATAACATTTCACATTCCGCAAACCTTATTTACTTCCTTTTTGCGCAAAACTTCCTTCTCCAAAAAGAGTCCGGAGACCCTCACTGCAGCAACCCAGAGCCCTTCAACTCAAATTCTGGTGTGAAGGTTGCTCAACAGCCCAAAAGGAGAGCTCTTCCAAAAAAATCAATATATTAATAACAATAATGATAATGATAATAATAATTATAATGATATGATAATCTCAATCTGTGGAGATATTTAAGAGTAGGTTAGATAAATGTCTATCAGGGATGGTCTAGACAGTATTTGGTCCTGCCATGAGGGCAGGGGACCGGATTCGATGACCTCTCGAGGTCCCTTCCAGTCCTAGTTTTCTGTGATTCTATGATAATACAGTAGTGCCTCAGAGTCCCAGCCATGTATCGGGACTTCATTGTAAAAAAGGTTGGACCTCCCTGGTCCAGCACTGTTGGGACCTGAATGAAACCAAATGAGAGAATTTGTCGGACCGGGGAAGTGTCCCCTGCCACCGACTCTAACCCAGCTGGCCCCCTGCCTCTGGCCCCTCCCCGTATACCCTCCACAGCCAGGCTGTCCGCCCTGCTGCTGCTGGCCCCTCGGCCCTGACTCCGGGCTGCCATAGGTGGCCAGGGTTTTCTGCCCCATGTTCCACACTGCCACGGGTGGCTGGGCTTCTTCAGCCCCCAACCCCGTGCTGCCACAGGTGGCTGGGCAGCTCCAGCCCCTGGCTCTGTGGGCAGCCAGACTTCTTTGGCCTCCAGCCCCTCGCTGCCACAGGCTGCTGGGGTTCTCCTGGCTGGCCCCAGTATTGCTATGGGGCTACAACCCTGCTGCTCCCGGCCAGGCTGCTGGCCCCTCCTGCCATTAGGCTCCCAGGCCAGGGAATGCTGGTTTTCAGAGGTGCAACCTGCAGGTGCTATATAAACACAGAATAAAATGATAGTCCTTAGCTGAGCAAAGGGGTTGCTAACTTTTGTGTAGTAACAACTCTTCAAAGGAGAAGAATGTTACACAAATGCCCTCAACACATTTATAAAAGGTTTGAAAAATATTAAATGTAAAACGAATGAGCTACAATCTACTGCCAAGCAGCCACTCCAGGGTGTGCATTATTTGGCCACCAGTGCAATTTTCAAGTTGTTAAAGGCCCAGGTCTGATGCCGAAGTTAAAGCTTGCTCTATTGTGGCTCATTACAGTTGTCAGAGAGCAGAACTATGCGGAAATGCACATACAGACCCACCCCTCTGTGCATTTCTATTTGCAGCATAGGTCGCTCTTTTTGTTGTGTGGTAATAACCACTCCAGCACACTGTACTTCATGCCCCTCTGCACTCACTCCTGGGGCTGACATTCTGCTACTGAAAGTGTGATTGCAGGTTCTGGTGAATAGCAGGCACATTTCCCCTGTGTGCTTGTCAAAGGCATTTCACAGAAGAATTTTAATGACAAGAGGCATTACTCAGTCCACTTTAGAAAAAAACACACTGTAGCTAGTTAATAATCCTTTTATCTGACACGTGTAACATGACATAATGGTGGCTGAGAGCAGCTGTGATTAAACCTGGGGCTCAAACCTGAGGCTCAAAGACTCTCCAAAACCTCTATGCAGGCCAAGACTGAAAGCCAGGAAGGTAAGTTTGGTGCTATGGGCTGTAATACTGTCATTTCCCCCAAACATGCAAAGGGCTCAGTGAAATGGAGGTGTGGCTGGTCAGGTGAGGAGAATGACAAAGCAAATGACCAAACTGGCTAGCAGTTTCTGTGTTTGCAAATGCAACAAGGCATCTGCCTGGGCACCACAAAATGGGAATTAATTCTCCAGCAGGCCACACCCACACAGGTGGAAAGATTTGTCTTAACAAGGCAGAGCTCCTGACTTGCACCAGGGGATTCTATAAAAGTGATCCCCTGACTACTCACTTGGATGTACTGGGGGTAGGAGAGGAGGTGATGGTTTGCCTATATGGTTAGGGACTGGGGCTCACTGCTGCTTAAGGAGAGCTGCATCTATTTTCTTTTTGTTAAACTAGGTAGGCTATGTCTACACTGCAGGCTTTGTGTGCAAGAACAGTTGTTCTTGTGCAAAAACTTGCAGAGTGTCTATGCTGCATGTGCATTCTTGTGCAAGTAATTTTACAGTAAAGTGTTGGAAAATGGGGCTTCTTGTGCAAGAGTTATTCCTTTCCGCATGAGGAATAAGCTCTCTTGCACAAGATCTCTTCCACAAGAAGGCAGTGTGGACAGGCAACAGGGTTTTCTTGCACAAAAAAGCATCCATACTGCCATGGGTGCTCTTGCACAAAAGCACATGGCAGTGTAGATGTGCTTTTGCACAAGAACTCTTGCACAAAGCAGTTCTGGCACAAGAAGCCTGCAGTGTAGACCTAGCCTTCGACTGTTAGCTTAATAGGCTTTTTAAAAGATGTTGGTAATAAACAGCAGAGAGGGAAGTTCTCTTTGCAAGGCTTTTGCTCCTTGGTCACACTACCAATTTAGGTACATACCTTTTTAGATGGCAAATGAAAGGCACAGAGTTCATTGGCCACATTTACTGCAGTCTCAATTCTAAAATAAAATGCACATGTGCATAATGACCTAGTTATCTTTCTCTCGTGAGTCAGTGCTTATTGGCTACTATACCCTGCTCTGGGCTTCAAGCTGGAAAAGAAACAATTTTCCTCTCTGTAAATTCCATTATGATCAGGTAACAGCTTTAATTTTTTTTCTTTCGTGGTAGAATGTGCTGTATTTAGACTTGTAGAAGAAGAATATTCAGCCTCCCATGAATGATTGATTCATGTTTCTTTAAATAAAAGACATTTGGAGACAAAATAGTGACACATGGGGAAGGGACTGAGCCAAGCTGCCCTGGAACTTTGCAGGCTTTCAGAATCTGGATCCAGACCTGAATTTTCTAAAGGGCTCTTTTTATCCTTTGATATCTTAGGTCTGATTCAGTATTACTATTGTGCAGATAACAGTAGAGATTAAACACCGTAACCAGGGTGGCCTTATACAAATACAAGACAGTCCCTGCTGGGAAGAACTTACATCTAAGTAGGCAGAGAGTGAGAAGGGAAACAAATATGCCATCAGCTAGAGGGTGTTGCCCAAGGTCAGGCTGCAGTTGAGTGGCAAGGTGAGGAACAAAACCCACCTCTCCTGATTTCCTTTGTAGTACCTTAAGCATTTATAACTGGGGCCCATCTCTCATTATAGTTGTATTATAAACCAAACCCCAATAGAGAGATACCAGGTGAAAACAAGGGCTGTGATGATATCCGCTCCCTCCCTCCCAGCCCTTTCCTAAATGAGCGATGCTAAGAAGCAGCATGCTGGCTAAAAAATTTACATTTCATGACTTTTTGGTGATTTGGCATCAAGCCATGCTGGGCTTCAAATACAATCTTGGTCTGCGACTCTTCTGTGTAAAAGCTTGTGTTATGCAGAGAAGGCCTCCGGTAATGATGCAATATTTGATGTATTATCGTTGCAGTGATTGCTAATGCTCCGTCTGTGGCCCAGCATATATCCGCATTGTTCTAACAGGTTGAGCTCATGTTTAACTCAGCTTATTCCACATTTTAGGCTAAATTACAGTGATGGAAGCAGAATAGGAATAAATTGTTTCACCCCAAAGACTGTGCTAAACTCTCCCAAGGTTATTTTCATTAAGTGACCTGATAACAAATTCTCTTCCATTAAGCTCATCCCCTGACAAAAGCTGTTATGCCGAATCCCTCAGAAGCCCACTGTCAGTTCTCACTTAACTTTCCTTTCCTGCATTTTATCTTGGTAGTGTCAGCTTCAGAAATTAAAACTACCATTTTTAACAACCGATGAAACCCTTATTAACATCTTCCTTGAGTTAATCCTCACAAGGCTGGGCTATTCACCCACTACATCATTGCCTTTTTTGATGATAATGCAATGAGTGATAATTGGGTTTTTAAACTAATTCCCATCCTATTTTGGAAAGATTGCAGTTTTCCCTCCCATGAACTCATTGCTCAACCTACTTCAGAGTTTTCAAGCAACCAGCAGAAATACTGTTTTATTCATCATTGGAAAGGCAACATTTGTAGTAAATAGTTGACAGGACCGGGAGAACAAGTGCTTGGATTCCAGTCCAGGCTGCAATCTTGAGCAAGTCACTTCACCTCTCTGATTCAGTTTCCTCCAGTTAACAAGGAAAAGATAATATGCATTGTATAGACTCATAGACTTTAAGGTCAGAAGGGACCATTATGATCATCTAATCTGACCCTCTGCACAATGCAGGACACAGAATCTCACCCACCTACTCCTGATTATTCTCTCACCTATATCTCAGATACTGAAGTCCTCAAATGATGGTTTAAAGACCCCAAGATGCAGAGAATCCTCCAACAAGTGATCCGTGCCCCATGCTACAGAGGAAGGCGAAAAACCTCCAGGGCCTCAGCCAATCTATCCTGGAAAATTCCTTCCTGACCCCAAATATGGCGATCAGCTGAACCCTGAGCATGTGGGCAAGACTCACCAGCCAGACACCCAGGGAAAGTTCTCTATAGTAACTCCTATCATCCCACCATTGGCCTATTTACCACCGATAGTGAAAGGTCAATTAGTTGCCAAGATCATGTTATCCCATCAAACCATCCCCTTCATAAACCCATTTAGCTTAATCTTGAAGCCAGATAGGTCTTTTGCCCCCACTACTTCCCTTGGAAGGCCATTCCAGAACTTCACTCCTCTAATGGTTAGAAACCTTTGTCAAATTTCAAGTCTAAACTTCCTGATTGCCGGTTTATATCTATTTGTTCTTGTGTCCACATTGATATTGAGCTTAAATAACATGCTTTAAGAGCCATAGATGACAGTCACTCAATAA